ATTTCGACCCACTGACTTTGATCTACATTTGTTTTAATCGCTGCTAGTCTTTGCTCTCTCGTTTGGATCAAGTTTGAACCCATAAATGGCGCGTAGGGCTCCGGAGTACGAAGGGCATGGTGACAAAATAAGAACAAATTAGCATACTTCACGTTTCGAAACGATCCGGAGGGAGCAGAGACTAACGACAGAAGGCTCTGCGAACCAATCCTGGCAATGCTGCAGGAACCGATGCAGCAAGAATGCAGGCGTTCTAGCGTGGAGTCTACGAACTTCCAGCAGACACACCGTCCCAAGACCACGGCGTGGTTTCGGCAGCGTGTGAAAGTGTGATGACCACCTTCCTTGCCCTTCCGTTTTCGCCAGAGCCGTCTCTGCCCCGTTATTGCGGCAGTGGCGTGTGGGCCCAGCGGCAGCCAAACGACCATCGTGAGTCTACTAACGACGTACTCCCCCTCACGGTAACGGACACGGTCCAGCACACTACGCGAGTAATGCCTCCTGACCAAGGCGTGCGCGCGCACAAAAGTGAAACAACGCCGGCTGAAAATATGAAGTCATTAATCATGACAGACGTCCTCCCGTACGTTCAGCTTCGCAAGACGTCTGTCGTTGTACCGTAAAGCGGCTTGTCTGTGGGTCTTGATGCTTGGTGCCGTTAAATAGCTAAAAGAGATCATAAGCCACAGAGCTCAAGAAAACCTGACCAGAAACCGGTAGAACGGAGGCTAGAAAAATGGAGTCGACGTTTGGCCGAAGAAGCTACTAAGCGGCAGGCGTTTTTTGTACCTAACCTTTACGATTTCTGCTTTGCTTGATTTTTTTTCGCAAGCCAAAGATCGCGGTAAGAAACGTAAAAATATTTTCTCGGGAGAAATCTACTCTGGGACAGTAAAACGTGTGCAACTGATCATAAATTGAGTCAAATGCAATCCATTTTCACATAGATGTTTGTAACATATTTGTTCGTAATATTTCGAGCAATTATGTAAAAATTTATGGAGAAACGGTATCTATAGGGAAACATCTATATGCCTGTTAACAACACAAATATCAGATTGGGTATGAAACTTGGAATTACACGTAGCTCGAACACTTACGCGTCGTTCTACAAAATGTTTTGAAAATGTTGAATCATATCACGCGCTTAACCTTTGTGAAAATAGCTAGCATCAATTTTATTTTACAAAGCAACGCAATGAGGAAACACTTCACCGACTCAACTTTTCACGAGCCATTCTATAGCGTTTTGTTCACTTTTCCCTGAAAACATCTCAATAGTCTAACGAGACCTCAATCTTCAAGGATGTCGTTTAATCTCGCCTGAGAAACGCATTGCCCTCGTCTGCGTGGGACGACGGGAGACGGGAGACGGCACTAAAATACAATTGATGGCGTTTGGTGGGACACGGGCCGCGTCACTGAACCGCTCTACACTGGTTCTGTGGAGCAAGGCAGAACGAAGCATGTGGGTTGCGTTTTCTCTCAGTGCGGGCCCGTTCCTTCACCTCGCTTTGCTCTCACGGCACACATTCCTACGTTGACGAGGAATCGCACAAAGCATGCCGTCTTGGATTCGCATATCTTTCTTTCGTCCTGGCAAAATCATAGCATTTATTCATGCAATGCATTGCTGTCATGACTGCCCGTAACTCTTACATGGTCAGCCTTTATCAAGCATGGTAAGTATGGGAAAGTAAGCAAAAGTACGGGAACACTACATGCACAAACACCTGATTTGTGGAACTCATGGCCGCGGCCACACCGCAACTTCCCAAAACCCTTGACCAGCCCGTAATCACCTGCGTAGCTCTCTGCCGTCGGCTGGTCGCCCTAGCCCTTGACCAGCCCGTAATCACCTGCGTAGTTCTCTGCCGTCGGCTGGTTGGCCTGGCCCTTGACCAGGCCGTAATCACCTGCGTAGCCCTCTGCTATCGGCTGGTTGCCCTAGCCCTTGACCAGCTCGTGATCATTTTCGTATCTCTCTGCCGTCGGCTGGTTGCCCTGGCCCTTGACCAGCCCGTAATCACCTCCGTGTCTCTCTGCCGTCGGCTGGTTGCCCTGGCCTGGACCAGCCCGTTATCGCCTGCGTAGCTCTCTGCCGTCGGCTGGTTGCCCCAGCCCTTGACCAGCCCGTGATCGCCTGCGTAGCTCTCTGCCGTCGGCTGGTTGCCCTGGCCTGGACCAGCCGTGATCGCCTGCGTAGCTCTCTGCCGTCGGCTGGTTGCCCTGGCCTGAAGACGTGTGGCCGCCGGCAGCCTCAGACCGTTGCAGCAGGCCCGCCGGCGACGGGCCGCCCCAGCTCGCGGCCCGGCGGCGCGGTCCACGGCCGCTCCACGGCCAGACGGACGCCGTCCGTTTTTGCCGCGTATTTCCAAACGGTAAACGGTGTCGGCGGCCCCGAGCGGCAGCTGCCGGAGCTGGGAGGGTTGGCCCCGACCGGCAGCTGCTGGAGCTGCGAGGGTCGGCCTGACCGGCAGCTGCTGGACCTGGTATCGATCTGCGAAAACGCATGTTATTGATCTGCGAAACGGCTGAGAAAACAACATTTCTGAAACTGTGGCAAAAAGCCGTCAGTCACCCTGCAATAGCTTGGAACTTACTTTAGCGGTCGCGAGGCACAGTGCCTTTAGTCAAGCGTGAAGCGTCACTTGCTGCAATGCATGAAACTCCGCTTCAGGAGTTTCTTGCTTGAACACGAGCCTCTCGCAGGTTGATCTGTTTCAACTTACGTACAAATTAGCTCGCTGTCACATCCGGTGCGTCCGTCGCGACAGATGACCCTGCCTCGCGTGACTCGGCGGCGCCGCCTGGTACGGAGCGACGCGAGCTGACGGCGCCGCCACCGGCCGCCCCTGGGCTCCAGGCCGTTCACCTGGGCCGGGTCAGCAGGTCATCGGTCACACGGCCCGGGCTGGTGGAGCCGGCGCCCGCCGCCGCCGCACACGCACACACCGGCCCCGGCGCGCCGGCCGCCACCGCCGTTCTCACCAGCCGGCTTTGTTGTGCGCCGCGGGCTGCCGACGGCCGGCAAATATTATTGTTGTGCCGCCGCGCCAGTGGGAAGCGGCGAGCCCGCGCGCCACGGCACGTCAGCCGGCTGTTCGGCCGGTGTGAACCGCGCTCACGTTGCACATGGGCGTGGCGACCTTCGAGACAGGCGCCCGTTTGCACTGTGCCGGTGGGCAGGTGCTGCTGTGTCATTGTTCGCAATGCTATACCCTGGTCTAACAAGGTCAGTGGGTGCTCGATTTCATGCATGACATACCAT